CGAGATGCCCAGGGACCCGCAGCCAGAAGGCGCACGCAGCGGGATGCCGAGCAGACTCACCCCCAACTCGGCCAGTCCCAGGCTCCCCTCCTGGCACTGGTGGCTGTGTCCGCCCCCACACAACAGGCATGGGGGGCAGAGAAGACCCCCCAGGAACAGCCCCTGCGGGGGCCCTGTAGCCAGAAGGGTGGCGTGCTGGCTGTGCGCAGAGGAGTGCTGCCGCGACCAGGGCTGCGGGTGGGGATGCCGAGCAGACTCACCCCCAACTCGGCCAGTCCCAGGCTCCCCTCCTGGCACTGGTGGCTGTGTCCGCCCCCACACAACAGGCATGGGGGGCAGAGAAGACCCCCCAGGAACAGCCCCTGCGGGGGCCCTGTAGCCAGAAGGGTGGCGTGCTGGCTGTGCGCAGAGGAGTGCTGCCGCGACCAGGGCTGCGGGTGACCCCAGCACCAGCCCCCTCGCTGGGGCAAAGGGGGAGGGCCACATGCAGCGTGTGGCTCTGAGGGCCTGCTCAGAGCACCTGGGGCCAGAAGGCCCCACACTGAGAACCAGTGATCCCCTGTAACCTGGGGAACTCCCAGCCACTGGACACCTGCTGGCTGTGCGCAGAGGAGTGCTGCCGCGACCAGGGCTGCGGGTGACCCCAGCACCAGCCCCCTCGCTGGGGCAAAGGGGGAGGGCCACATGCAGCGTGTGGCTCTGAGGGCCTGCTCAGAGCACCTGGGGCCAGAAGGCCCCACACTGAGAACCAGTGATCCCCTGTAACCTGGGGAACTCCCAGCCACTGGACACCTGGCACCTTCCTGGAGGCAGATTCCCACCGGGGCGCCAGGAGGAGAGAGGGGTCAGACCCGCAGCGCAGGCCGGGCAGGGGTCGGCTGTGGGAGAGGGGTGGGCGCTGGCTGCAGGGAGTCACGTGCCTTGCCCCGAGGGGCGTGCAGTGGGCACAGCGGTGAGGTGAACTGAACCACCGTGGCCAGGCTCACGTGGACGCGGATCCCCTTCGCCAGCACTCGCAGGGCCTCCCACCGAGCCTGTCCGCAAGTCCGCAGTGGGGTGGGGGACTGGACCCTGCGGGGTATTTGCTGGGGAAGGGGAGGGACGGGGCTGCTGGCTGGGGACGGAGGCGAGGGAACAACCGCTGCTGTGCTCCCCGCCCTTGCATGCCAAGGCTGAGGCCGTTTCGCTCGCCTGGGGCACACGCCGTGGGTCTCAGCCCGCTCTCCCCGCCAGCGGGCCGGGATC